ACAGATGCCTCGTCTCCGTTATTGCGCCCACACCTCCAGATCTAACAAGAGTAGTTTTGTGTTTAAGTAATAACTGCTTTTTATACTGTCCACAGTGTGAAGAGAAAGAGGTTATTCAACTTTACTAACTGTTCTTCCTTTCTATTTTAATATGGTAAAACATTTGCTCTGTTTTAGGTGACTGTGCATCCTTTTGTAGAAGTTACATTTCAGAAAACAGTTTATCAGACTAGCACTGCAGATGGCTCTCATCCATGCTGGAATGAAGAACTTCAAGTTGATTTTAAGTGAGTTAACATTTCAACTTTAATAAAGTTTGTTTTAGTAAGTTGAATGTGGCATTTAAATTACTCAGTAAAAATTCCATGTCTCCGGTATCCAAATACTTCTTGCACTGCAATCTGTTCCATTTTCTTAGACGTTGGATCTCAGTTGTACATTATCTGCATATAGTGGAACATGATCCTAAAACAATTATTTCTTATTTATTACCTGAATGTTTTGAGGGATTTGCTGTATAAAGAAAATAGGAAAACAATAAAACCTCGGTTTAACAGATCATTCAGGGAACAGTATGTCTGTTATATTTGATGTTTGGATAAATCTAAACTTGTATCATTGGCATCAGTTTATCATTTTCCTAATTATGTAATTGTGCTATATCCTTTCAATTGAGAGTCAATTAAAACAGTAGATCATTGATTCAAGATTATCTTTGTTAAATTGAAATTTTATTGCAAATGCCATTTAGTCAACTTTATAATTATGCAAATGATTTAAATTCACACAAATGATAAGTTCAATATTTTCTAAATTTAGATATGATTTCAGAGTTTCAAATGGAAACATATGTATGCAATTGTACAAAAGATTCAGTTTCTATATAGCACAGTATATAGTTTAATAACATTATTATGAATATTTTACTATTATTTTTAATGTGTATATGTTTAAAGTAGAAAAATATAACTCTTTTAAATGTCACTTCAAATATTTGTTGTTTGTTTCAGCTCTCCAGCACATGATTACACCTTTTTAGGTCTATCTAAAATAAAAGACAACATAAATATTAGCATTTTTGATGAATTTGTGATTGAAAAGCATGAGGTAAATTGTGTATTAGAAAAAAGAATAAACTTTTAAATAAGGAATCATAAACTGATTTGTAAATATGTGTAAGAAATCAGAATCAATAGTTTTTTTTCATTTTGATTGAAGAATGAATAGAAAGTTATCATTAAGTCCAGAATATAATTGTAATATTTCTTATTATATTATTTAAGAAAAGAGAGTATTATGCATAAATTCTGTTCAGAATGCTCTACCTCATTTTGTTCCTTGATGTATTTGTTCAGCTTTGTTTGGTTAACCAACTAATTATTAATGGAGCATATTGTCTTGGCCAATATGATTCACTCCTGTCACTTCCAGTTAGATTATTTTAATATTATATATGGGACTACTCTTCACAACCATTCAGAAGCTGCAGTTGGAGATACTGTATTTTTTAAAATGCACATACACTATCTTGCATTCTCTATCTTGCACATAAATACATGCATTAATCTAAATATAAAATATTAATCCAAGTTATGTATTTAACTAGGATGCCTGTCCAAATAGTTGCAGTGGTCATTCTTACATAAGAAAAAACTGGCTTGGATCAATTGTATTTCCTTTCTCTGCTCTACTTGAACAATCTAAGGTAATAAGGAACAAGAATTATGGTTTTAAACATGTCATTATAATCTCTGTAATGCAACCACCCCATCAGATGTTTACTGTGACTTTATTATATCTATTTTTAAAATGTATGTGTTCTCAGATCTGTGGAACATTTCAAATAGATATGCCATCTGTTGTACTTGGATATACTTGGAGTAAGACATATGTACCCCCTAAAGAAGAATGTTTGGGGCAGAACCTGAAAGAATATAGCTTTTTAACCATCTTTGCTACTATTGAACCTCAGTTATCTTCTGCTGAAAATAATTTAGAACTAGATACGGTAGGCATTTGTAATTATCTCATTTGATAAGTAAGATAATTTCAAAATATTTTTTCTAATTATAAAGTACAATATATAGATAGTCCTCTACTTATAACCACAATTAAACCCAGAATTACAGTCACAAGGTATTGTGGTTGTAATAGTGGTGGGATTCAAAAAAAATTATTACCAGTTCTGTGGGTGTGGCTTGGTATGCATGGCAGGGGAAGGATATTGTAAAATCTCCAGTCAGAGGTGGTATTTGCTGAGTCTGAACTACTCAAAATTTCCACTACCATTCTCCAGAACTGGTCAGAATCTGCTGAATACCACCTCTGGGTTGTAAGTTGAAGCATGCTTGCCTGGGCAGTCATTTAACAAACCCTGTTAAGCAAATCCGTTTTATCCAGTGGCCACTTTTTTTCTGGAAACTGGAAGTTAATGCCAGAAAACTGATGAAAAATATTGAAATTCTGCAAACGGCTGTAAAGTGAGCCAAGCATCCAACATTTAATTATGTGATTGTGAGCATACATATGCAGCTTTTGGGAGGGTTCATCATAACTTCAAATGGTTGTTAAGTGGTTGTAAGTTGAGGCTTAATTCTGAACATATATTTAGTTTGCAGATCATGAAGCAGAAACACTATTGCAAAGAGCATATATTTTTAAGCAAACATGGAAAGCAGTGTTTCCAAAGAGAAGGATAATGACTTCAGTTTTTAACAATCAGGGAAGGAATATTTTAGTAACTAAGTACATTAGCCCTTTGAATCCACCACAACTGTTTCTAGATATGTATCCAAAAGATCCCAATTCAACTTCTGTGAGTATGATTTATTATTAAATAAAAACTTCCTGATTTCATTAAATATGGCCTTGAGTCATTTCAAATTATTATTTCTGTTTAGATTTTTCTGATATGCCAATTAGAACTTTTTCTTTACATTTGTTAATAAATGTAAAAAATATAATACAATGAATAATTGATGGATATTATAATTCCAAATAAAACAAATCAGTCAGATTTCCTGATTTGATTTCCTGCTGACTGGATTTCATCTTATTTATTTTCTAGGACCTTATATCACGATTTGTATCTTTAATTCCTTGTATAGCAGATACAGTGGATGAAAATAATGATGTTGATGTGTGGATGACATCAGAGGTACTGCCAAATTTCATAGTAATACTGCTCTGCTGATTTATAGAAATCGGTTTTATTTTTATGTAATTTGCACTGATAGCCATCTGAAGTATTTATATGGAAGTTAATATGAATGCATGGTTCTTATACCTTTTCCTCTTAGGATCTCTTCCCACTTTTAAAAATTATGAAGGACCCCAAAAGAGTTTCTGTTTATATAGGTTATATTTATGAATATACCATATTAAAAATTAAAACTGAGGCTGGCATATAATTTTGATTATGCCAATTGTGAATTTTGTTAATTGTAATATTATTTGTTCTATTCTGAATTTAACTCTGTTTGAGTAATCCGCTAAATTATAGAAAATCAGTTTGATTCTAGAGTGAACCTAGGAAAAGAAAAAAAATATTGGGTGATACGGTACTTATGTTCTGGTGAAAGGCTTAAATGTCATGCTGCTTTATCAGTTTACAAAAACTAGTTCACTTGAATTATAAAATACCGGGAATGTGTTTTCCTGCAAAGGAGAAGATATTCTTAGAAATTGTTCTCACTTATTCTGATACGCAATAATACAAAAAGAAGTAGAAACTGACTATCTAATAAAGAACATTCTGTTTACAGATTTGCTTCTGTCTTACTCTGAGATAGGATATATCACCAATAGCTTACTAGCTTTTCCTCTCATGTTTCATACAGTTACCACTTACCTCTATCTTGTTAGTATGCTTTTTATCCTTAAACCCATCTTTGGATAAAGAACAAGTTCTTCAAAACTTTGTGTGCACTATATCTAGTACTGAGGATCAAGGAAACCCAAAAGGTTCTCAGATGAGGAAGAATCCATCGAAACCCAGAAGAGCGGGGAAAAAATAATTAGCTACGGAACCAAGTCCTCTCAATTTCAGTACATTTTTCCCACCTGACATAAAAATATTATTTCTTTCTTTTCTCTGCTGGTAAGTCTTAATAGCAGAGAGCTGACATCCCTCCCTAGAGAGGGTAGAAGTTTCTGAAATATAGCAAAGATAATCATCTGGACTTCACACATCACTATAGGGAGCATATTAAAGTTCCTCTACACCAAACCTTATTAGATTAGAAAAATTATAATTAAAAACAAAGCTTCAAATTACTTCCTCACAGATCACAAAATATTATATTTCTAGCAATTGCTTTGCCATTCTATGAATAACTTTCTCTTGTGTCTTCTTAAATTCAGAATTATATTGTATCAAATAACCTGTAATAAAGATTTTACTTGCGTTCCAAGTAAATTCTCAAATCTGTACCTTTACTTAAATTATTTTTTAAAAAAATCTTTTAATTTGTATTTGCAGTCTTCAGCAATATCATCTTTCAGGAAAAACATTTCATTTTTGTATATTTTTATTTATTTATTTTTCACATTTCTATATTGCCTATCTCCTTCCATATGAAAGAAGAAGAATATTTTTTTATGAATCAGTTATTATCTGAAAAACTCTTTGATAAAATCTATTAAAATTTATGAAATTTTAACAGCCAAATCACCTGAAGGGTAAATCATATCTGTCCTTGAAAACTATTTGTGTCTTTCTGAAAAATAACTGTACTTTTTTAAATGCTATATAACTTCTCCAACAAACCTGCCATGTTAATCAGTTAATACAAATTGTATGTTCAGTTGACAATTAATAGACAAAGCAGCTCCATTTCTCTTTTTAATATCTGCTGAAATTAATTCTTTACCCAAAGTTTTATAGGTCAAATATTTTATATCCTTTTTATTGTTATGATTCTCTTCTAGGCAGATTGCTTTAATTTTTTCAAATAATATATATTTTTTCTTTTTTGAGGAGCATTTGCTTCATTTATATTCCATATAAAACAATTGTAATCCATAATTAGTTTTAAAAGTTAAAAAACTCCAAATCTGTAGTACCTGTTTCAGTATCATCTTTTTCTAATCCCCACAGCAGTTATGACTACTGTGAAATTCTTTCTATGATTTTAATTTCTGTTTTCTCCAATTCTTCTTTATAACTTTCTAAAAACATCCGTTGCCTTTTGAACAGTCAAATCTGATTCTTTGTTCTTTGAAAGTAAGCATTGCAATATATCCCATTGAAAGGGTTTTTTTCTGTTTTAATTTTTCAACCAAAAGGGAATATTATTTCTTCTTACACAAAATTGAGTTGGGAATCTCTTTCCCATAATTGTTGGGAAACAATTATATCAGTATTACATTTTCAATATTGTATCCAAAAATAAGGTTGTCATAAAAGAATTTGGAGGATGAAAGAGAGGCTGTTGTTAGAATGGAATATGAGGCTTCTGTTGTGGTTATAAGGATTTTCTCAATATCCCAAAGGTGCTTTTTAAAAAGGCAACTGGACTTTGTTTTTTCCTTGAATATTTTTCACTTTTCACCAAAGGTTTTCTCAATAGTGCTACTTCTTCCATAATAGGAAGAGTTTGGTTAATCTTGACCCTAGATCTAAGCAAAGAAAAGACCTTCAATCACGTTTAGTTTTGACAAGGGATAATAAATGAGTCAAGATTCAGCTTTTGTGGCTGATGCTAGTTCAAATATATCCAGTTTGTTCTGAATATGGCTTTTAGTTCAAAATCTTCATTTCTTTCTTTGTTAGATTTTTTAAAAGACATCCTTTGTAAATGGCCAGGATATAGATATTTCAAAAATAAAGCATTTAGGCCTTTACAGTCTTGCAAAGGAGACAATTTAAGCAACACTAAAATGGAACTTTTCAATAAAGACATAGTGTCTTGCTCACTGAAAATATCATGTAATATGAAAAACAATTGGCATAATGCCAGCCCCTACCAATATAGATTTATAAATAATTTATGCATCAGTGAGGGTGCTAAGTAATAGATCAAGGAGTGCTTTGCAACCAAAAGGATAATTATACTGTAAATTTGGTCTCTCCAAAGTGTTTCCAACTTTTCTTCATGGTATTTCTGGAAAGAAAGTTATCTTTAAATCGCACAGACAATGTATATTTGTTGAAGGCCACCAAGGAGTTCTTTCATATCAAATATATGTAGGATCCTGTTCAATATTCTTCATTGTTCCTAAGAATAGAGATTAGAGATTATTGCATTGAGGGGAAAAAATTGGAATCAATTTATCAGATAAAGATAGTTTAGGATTAAGCACATTATATCTTCCTGGCAGCCTACAGACCAAAGATTTCCTTCCCTTTGACAGGCCTCCAGATGAATTCACATGCCAGTCTAACTTCTTCGTTATCATTTTTTTGCATATTAGATGCAATTCAAAGCCCTCTCCCTTGAGTTCTTTCCTCCATGCTTAAATTATTCACTAGCGTTTTAGTAATGTTCATAAATAATGAATTTGGGTAAATATTGGAAAGAGTAATCTCTATCTAATACCAGATTGGGGGAAGTACTCAATATGCAATATGTTGAACAACAAGATGAAGTCAGATCCAATTCTAGAAAAAGCCTAGAATTTAAACATGAAGTATTCACAATTGATATATCAAAATTTTGTAGTAGTTCTGTCTTCCGTGCATATATTATTGTTTGTCTGCAAGCAGGGAAGCTGCTCAGAGTCACTTCATGAGTTGAATGGTATAAATAGCATTAATTTAATAAATAATAATAATAATTTACTGATTTTGTAAATTCTGTTTTAGTAACTTCCAGGTAATGCCTGGAATGCAGGGATTTATTGCTATACTTGTTGTGAGTCTGATATGCACTCACCTTCCCCCACCCCACCCCTTCCATACTGTATTGAAGATATCCAGAACTCATAAAAGACTACGAAACAAAATTGACAGACCTACTCCAAGACTCCACATACAAACCCATAAACACGGACCCAACCATATATCTGAAAAAATAACCAAGAAGAAAATCATAACCAGCCACATGAGCAAAGAGATCCAACAGACGATCATCCCAGAAGAAAAATCTTCCAGACCCATAGTCAGCTCCAGAGGAGCACAACTACAAAACCTAGCTAAACACTTAGCAAAGCAGCTACAGCCCCATGCTGAAGCAGCAGCTTCACATGTACAAAACTCATACCACTTCTTGGAAATGATCAAAGATCTACACGTGGAACAAGAAGATCTGCTTGTAAGTTTCAACGTGGTTTCACTATTCACTCAAGTCCCAATAAAAGAAACTCTTGAAATCATCAAAAATAACTACCAACCAGCTAAACACCTCATGGAACTAACAGAACACTGCTTAACCAACACATATTTCATATACAAAGGACAAAGATACAAGCAAATTGAAGGAGCCCCTATGGGATCACCACTGTCACCCGTCATTGCAAACCTGTTCATGGAAGAATTTGAATCCAGAGCCCTGGCTAATGCCACCCACAAACCCAAACTATGCTTAAGAAACATCGATGACACATTTGTGATTTGGCCCCATGGAAAAGAAAACCTAAACAATTTCCTAACACACCTAAACAGCACACACCCCAAAATCAAGTTAACCATGGAAACGGAAACAAACAACTACCATTCCTAGATGTACTAATCTACAAATAAACAGATGGCAAACTAGGACACACCATATACCAGAAGAAAACACACACCAACCGCTACCTCAACGCCCAATCCCACCACCACCCAGCACAGATGAACTCCGTGGCCAAAACACTAATTGCCAGAACCAAACGCCTGGCAGACAAGACACACATAAAGACTGAACTATGCACCCTGACAGCCAATGGCTTCTACAAAAGCAAAATCACTGGCTTGATCCACAAAAACACACTGAGACATAATGGAGACCTAGAAGATGAACAGACCTAGGGAACAGCTGTCCTGCCCTACATAAGAAGTACTACAGACAAAATCAGTAAGAAACTACACAGGCATCACATCAAGACTGCCTTCAAAACAGACAGAAAAATAGCAGCCATCCTAAGAAACTCCAAAGATAAAATTGACCTGGAAAACCAAGGCATATATGAAGTCCCCTGTGCATCATGCCCTGCCACATACATTGGACAGACCAATAG